CAGATCCTTCGTGTCAGAGGCTCTGCTCACATGCGTCAGCATACTTCCAGAGAAGCTAAGGGAGGTGCACTGGCTTACAGAGCTGTGTGCCTGGCATGGGGGTGAAAAAGAAAAAATGGAATTGTACTGCATGTTCATTTGGCCTCTGGGACTTTTGGTGTATAGGTAAACTGTGATGGTGTCAGGTAAGAGGCATCTTACAACAAGTTTGAATAAACATTTTACAGAAGCAGAAACATCTCATCTTGGGTTGAAGGGATGAAAGATTTTAACAGTGAAATAATGCAAACCACATAATTGCAACCTTTCATGCAGGTTGCCCCAGTTCCATTAGCAAACCCTTCCAATCCAGGCACAAAGGAAGGTTACAGATCACTCAGCAGCAACCCAGAGATTGGAAACTATTTGCATAAAACCATCCAACAAGTCAGCAGCAAATCTGAGAAGATGGGGGAGGTTAGCAGTCTATGTTTCTCTGCAGCTCAGTAGCCTGACTAGTGCTGTCAGGCCCATGAGTATATCCTAAGAGACTGGCAAGATGTAGACTTATTTAGGTATGTTAGTTTCTGGGTTGCCTAATGAATGCTGCTAGTGGTACATGTTAGTGGCAAGAGAGAGACACATGCACAGAAGCTTATGGGTCCCATTCCTAGCTGTGCAAAGGAAAGCTCTTCCTTGGTAAAAAAACTAAAAGTGCAGCATCACCTGAGTTTATTTATGCAATGACAAGTATAAAAAACTCTCAGCCTAAACCACTTTAAAAGTACATTCTGAAATTTAAAAGAAATGTCTCTTTAGGGAGGTGCACTTTTAATGTTCATATGTTAATGAAGATCTTTCACTGAGGGACAAATGAACTCAATAATTCTACACAAAAGGGGAACCCACAACACACAGAGAACTGTCAAGGGTACAGAGATCACAAGCTGCAAAACAGAAAGAATATGTTTTCAGTAAACCAGCAAGCACATGAGAGTGGAGAAGCCCAGATGTGCCTCTGTCTCTTCTTCTATCACAGGCAAATACATCATATGAAACATTCTCACCAACTGATTGATCTAGCTCTGTCCCAAAGCTTATTAGGGTTCTTGATGCAGTTAAAGGAAGTGTTAGTGCCATCGGTAACTGGGATGGTTGATAATGACAAACATTGATACTGATTCTCATAGTGCATCTTTAAGCTTTGTAGGGTCCAGGGACAAATGAGAGCTTAGGCAGTCCTTACTGATATCTTTACATCAATATTTTGTACACACCATTAAAAGATTAGTAGACTGAAGGAATTTATGAGACACGTGGAGTGGGGCATGACTGAGCCTGGCAGAAGTATATGAGAAGGTATAAAATGTCCATCCGGCCTAGTATCTCTTCTCCAACAATAGCGAGCAGCAAATGCCTTGGAAAAGAGTATGCAATCAGTCATCCCTTGTTTCCCTCTCAATCAGCAGTCCAAAGACTTCCTGAGATGGAGCTTCCATCAGGACCATCAAATTAAATAATTGCTGATCCAGGTTTTTTGTGAATGTGTCTGTTTCTTTTTGTATTAGCTTATTTATTTGATAGGATTTCCTTTTACTATGTTAAAGGACTCGACTTGAATTTATAAATCTTAATTAGCTCCCCTGACAGTACAACTTTTAACAGCCCCCTCTGCTTCCTCAGGTCTGCAGATTGTTCTGTGCATAATCCAGACCTGTCATTCTCTTGCGAGGAGCGTTAGCTGTACAAGACAAAAGTCTGTCCCTGAAGTAAACGAATTGCACAATGTTAAAGGCAGTGTTCAGTCTCATAAGGATCAGACAAAGCACATGCTAAATTTTCATTTTCTGTGATGCTTAAAAGCAGACAGGTATTAGCCTGCCTAAGTGATTACTATGAGAGGGGTAGAGTAGCTAAATTGGTACTAATTGTCCTATTTAAGGAAGTAGGAATGCCAAGGTGTCTGTATCATCCACATTTCACACAACACTAAAATCAGGTGTAAGTCATCTGCTGGTAAAAGGATTAAGCCCATGTCTCTGGAGATTTGTGGGCTTTCCAAAGGAGCAAAGAGGGGAGTAGACTGCCAGGTGCCAACTTCCCTTGTCCTTTCTGGCCTCTTAGTACTGTTTGGCAAAACAAACACAGTAACACAATGGGGTGATGGACTTTAAGCTGCTATATCAATTAATTTTGGACTTTTTTAGAGAGAATGTCAGTGGTTAGTAGTTGTGCTGTCACTGCAGAGAGGACAATCCTCTCAACACCAGAGCACCAAGTGTAATGTCCTAGCAGAGGTGTCCAAACAGCCTACAGCATCCATCTCCAGCCTGCTGAAGGGCCCCTCCTGCCTGCCAGACTTCCTTGTCCCCAGGCTGCCACCAACAGAGTCCAGGAAAGGGAGACAGCTGATAACAAGAACTGCCTGGAAACGGTGGTTCTGTTCCAGTTAAGGAGTGGGATGCAGGGAACAGGCATGAGGGCCTGCAAAACTGCAAACACCTCCAGGAAGCTGAGAGGATGTGTCAGGGGAGGCAGTGGGCCTGCCGAATGCCTGACAGAGAGAGAACAGTTTGACCTTGACCACCTTGTTGTGTACCCCATAGCAGCTGGAAAAGTCCTGGAGGAGTGCTGTGTCAGCCTGAGAAAGGAACTGAAGATAAGGAGAAAGAAGAAAAATACCGTTTGTCAGACACCCGAACAGTGGGGGATTTTAAGAAAACTAGCCAATAAAGTAGTAGACAAACAGCCATGTAACAGTAAGAATGGTGTGCGGATAAAAGAATAAAGTATGTAAGAGATGGGGGAACAATAAAGATGGCTATTCTGCTGCAAAAAAAAGTTGTCGTGTCCGTCTCTACCACGACAGGGATGCATAACACAGCCTTCCCTGTCCCACCACTCTGTCCCAAAACCTGTAGCTGCCAGGCTGTCTCACCCGCTCGCAGAGGCTTTCCATGCTCATAGCCAGGAGCTTCCCACTTCGCGTCCTTTGGGCAGGGGGTGTGTGCGCAGGGGGGATCCCCGATGGAGCAGCCTTGGGCAGGGGGTGTGCGCAGGGGGGGATCCCCGATGGAGCAGCCTTGGGCAGGAGGTGTGCGCAGGGGGGATCCCCGATGGAGCAGCCCTGTCTAGCCCTGGTGCCACCCCACAGGCCTGAGCGCGGTGGGGAGCAACGAAAGGGAAAGAAGGCGAGAAAAAGAGGAGGAGAGTTAAACAGGGGGCAGGACGGTGGGAAGAGCAAAGAAGTAGGGAGGGAAGGAAGAAAGCGGAAAAAAAGGAGGAGAAAGGGGAGGAGATGAAAGGCAAGGGGAGAAGGGAGGACCGGGCGGAGAGGAGGCGAGAGGCCGGGGAGGAGAGGAGGGAGGCAGCTCGGCAGAGAGGGACGGGACGGGACCCGGCGCCCCGCGGGCCATGCGGCTCCTGGCCGCGGCGCTGGCCGCCCT